CGGCTCTGGCTCTTCCGGCCACAAACGACTCGCAACATACCTCATGGCGAGTCTGGATAACCTGTTCAGCTCCGCCCAGGCGGCCAAACGGTCGGATACCGAAAGTGGGCGTTCTGGATTGTGGAACTGTGACCAAAAAAGTTCTTCCAATTCATGGTCACCTCGACCTCGGAAGTGTTCGGTTGCGTCTGCCGCATTCGCTGCCAAATCCAGATAAGTGTTTTCCGCACTCCACTTCCGGTCTAACGGAGCATACTTAGGATCCCCGAACTTCATCCGCAGCATATAGGGCTTTCCAGTCGTGATATCTCCGTCCTGACGTAGCTCCTTCTTCATATCTCATTGCAGAGCGAGTATCCTTGGCCTCAGCAGTGATCTTCTCAAGGTCCTTCTGAGCCGCCCTATCTTCTTGTTCGAGAAATTTACAGCAGTCGGCAGCATCCTTCAATTTTATAGCCATCTCGGCTATTACTTTCTTGCTCTGGCAATGAGCAGCCTATTCGGCTTTTAGCTCTTCAGCCGCCTTAACGGCAGCTGCATCACTTTTCCTTGCTTGCTTCTTGTCTCGGGCAAGTTCCGACCGAAGGTTCTCCACGGCAGCATCACCATCTACATTAAGCACATATCTTATAAGGCACGAGCATCGAACTCCTCTTATCAGATGTCTGTGGAGCATACCTTGTGCCTCGTCTAGCCGCTTATTTACAAGCGCGATGTCGGCATCCGCCACGTCAAGTTGCCGCTTTAGCTCGGCAGATTCATCAGTCCGGCTAGTCACCGAACGCCTCGCCACCTTCATAAAAAGGTGATATGTTACACCTTGGGTTATGATCCTCTATCCGCCGTCACTTTTGACGACACACAGAGTCTCAGGGGCTACTATTTATACAGGGCGCATTTTATATATGCGGCTCTACCAAAAGGTACACCTTTTCACGTACCTCAAAGCCTGTCAGTAAACTCCTGGCGGCCTCGTACAATCTGCTTTCCGCAGATGAAATCCTTCCTATCACCGTGTTCATCAACATAAGGTGTTCTTCTGAGATGGACGCTCGCCCAAGCAGATCCCTCAGCCCCTCCGACCGCGCACCAGAGGGTGTCGGACTAGCCTGACGACCTTTTTCAGGGTCCGGACTTGGAAAAACCCTCCGGGATGACACCTCGGGGTCGCCTGCCTCGTAAGACGGTGCAGCTAGGGGAGGCGTTTCGCTCTCCATCATCTCCGGACGAAGATCCCCTGAAGGTGAGCTCTGCCGAGAAGGGTTGAGATCCGAACTGCAAGGTAATATTTCGGTTATCTTCCTCAGAAATAAAACAGGGATGCCACTCATTTTGGAACCCTCTCTTTACTTACGGCTCGGAGGAGAGCTGATCCCCTTGAGGGCGCAATGCGGCCGGGGCATTCTCCGGCGCCGGATCCTCTGGTGAAGATTTCTTCCCCCGTTTCGAGGCCATCCCCTCCGGGTCTTCAGAGGCGGTCCTTTTCTTTCCCAGGTTGGGGGAATTCTCGATTCCTCCCTTCCTGACAGCCTTCTTCACGGAGGCGGTAGCTCCTTGGTTCCCCTCTTCGCCCTCTACCGAAAGCATAATCTCCAGCATCCTGGTCAACACGGGATCCGGCACGGTCTCAGGCAGGGGGGCTGGACACCTGATAAGCTTTGCCTTCGCTATCCACTCCTGTTCAAAAGATAGCTCTGTTAAAGGGCAATTTTATGATGAAAATACGGATGGCGTGTCCAAATACGGGGCTACTTACTTGAGCATCCGGGCGATTGCAGCTCAGACCTGCGTCCTCGGACAAGTCCGGACACCTTGCTTGTGATCCGAAGAACAATTTGTACATCTCCACGGGCGTCGCGCCCATAAAATGTTGGAGGACTTGCGGTCCCTCCGGATTAAATTCCCACAGGCGGAGAGGGCGACGTTTGCAGGGCAGCATGCGGCGAATCAGCATAACTTGCACCAGTATGGTCAAGTTAATATCTCTTTCTAGGAGATCTCGAATGCGGTCCTGCAGTAGGGGCACGTCTTTGGACGGCCCCCAGATAAGCCCTTCATTGACCCATGACGCTAGCCGTGGTGGGGGACCCGAGCGAAAAGCAGGTGGCGCCACCCATGTGGTGTCCCTAGGGGCTGTGATGTAAAACCAGTCCCGTTGCCATAAGCCTAACTCCTCTTGGAAAGAGCCCTCGGGCCATGGAGCGTCGGCCATCTTGCTTATGATAGCTCCTCCGCACTCAGCGTGCTGCCCCCCGATCATCTTCGGTTCCACCTTGAAGGTTCTAAGCCACAATCTGAAGTGAGGAGTAATATGGAGGAAGGCCTCACACACGACAATGAATGATGAGATTTGGAGGATGGACTCCGGAGCTAAGTCGTGGAATTCCAGCCCGTAATAAAACATAAGCCCCCTCACGAAGGGATCAATCGGGAAGCCTAGCCCCCGAAGGAAGTGAGATGTGAACACCACGCTCTCACTGGGCTGGGGAGTGGGAATGGCATGCCCTTGAGCAGGCAGCCTATGCGAGATTTCGCCGGTTAGATACCTGGCATCTCTCAGCTTTTGCACGTCTTCTTCCGTAATGGAGGAAGGCATCCACCGGCCTTGAAGGTCGGAGCCGGACATCGTCGAAGGTCCGAAGCACCTAAAACTAGAGCTTTGGGTGTTGGAACTCGAGGCGAGGGGCGGATTCGATTGGATTGAAAAGAAAGGAGTCGAGCCTTGGTCTCTTTATAAAGGAGTTGAATACCAAGAGCCCTCCCCGTAACCGTTTGGGACTCGCTTTCAATTAGGGAGTCATACCAAAGGCGCGGTTGGGTTACCCACGCCCGTATTGATGAGAATCCTGGAATAAGGGGACACGATCTTTGCTTCGACAAGACGTGCCAAGGAAACCGCCTCGCTAAACGCGCTGAGGTGGAACAGTAAAATGATTCGAATAAAGGCTTGGCCGTGGCGTGATGTCACACTGCGGAATACGTCAGCAGATTAGATTTGTGCAGATATTATTCTCTCTACGGTGGTATGTGGAACTTATTTTGCAGAGCCAGACACTATCCTTGTGTTCAACATCTTCTATGAAGTATTCGGAGGGGGAACCCGCCTTGCAATGCCGAAGACAATTTGCGCGCCGGACTCGTCGTCATTGAAGCCTGGTTCAGGGGCTACTGAGGGAGTCCTGGATTAGGGGGTGTCCAGATGGCCGGACTATGACCTTTGGCCGGACTCCCGGACTATGAAGATACAAGATTGAAGACTTCGTCCCGTGTCCGGATAGGACTTTCCTTGGCGTGGAAGGCAAGCTTGGCGATATGATATGAAGATCTCCTCCCATTGTAACCGACTCTGTGTAACCCTAGCCCTCTCCGGTGTCTATATAAACCGGAGAGTTTTAGTCCGTAGGACGAACAACAATCATACCATAGGCTAGCTTCTAGGGTTTAGCCTCTCTGATCTCGTGGTAGATCAACTCTTGTACTACCCATATCATCAATATCAATCAAGCAGGAGTAGGGTTTTACCTCCATAGAGAGGGTCCGAACCTGGGTAAAAACATTGTGTCCCTTGTCTCCTGTTACCATCCGCCTAGACGCACAGTCCGGGACCCCCTACCCGAGATCCGCCGGTTTTGACATCGACAGTGGTCTTCGCATGTCAAAGGCGCTGGTGGTGACGTCGTCTTGGGCTCCACGATGACCTCCGTCTTGCCGTCCTGCTGGTCTTGGTCTTGTTGCACTGATATGGAAACCTTTGCCTCATGCCTCGGTACTCTGCGCCTGCGCTTGCCCCCGTAGCACCAAAGGGGAAACAAGGACACTGTGCGCGCTGGTGCCCGCCTGGCGCCCGCCTGGCCTTGATCGTCATGGCTTGCGTCACGGGAACCTCATGAGGTACCCCTTGCCTTGATCTCTCTGCCCCCTCGCGAGCCTGCCTGGTGAGGCTGCTCAGAGGAGGCCTTGCGTCGCCCGCCTCGCGAGGCTTGGCCCCTCGCGAGGGTCTTGAGCGCCGGCTGATGAAGACGGGCCGTACCGGGCCACTGGTGGAGCCACGCCGCGGGCCGCAGGCAGGCAAGTCCGGGGACCCCCGTTCCCAGAACGCCGATACGCTCAGGCTCAGGAATACAGAGTACACACACATCCCAGAAAAGACCAACAGAGGAGATAACATGTTCAGCTGTGCTCACTCTGAGAAGCGAATTTTCCCTAATTAGGCTCAATGCTACATATTTCTGGTCACATTATGTACAGGGGTAAAAAGGTCTTTTCACGTGTACAAAATGAACTAGAGGTTATATAGGGAAAGAAATTAAAATTATAGGTCATATAGGGAAGAATTTTTTTTCAATGTCAAACAAGAAACATGATTTTAAGGGAGTGCCTAATAAAGAATTCTCTCCATTTTATAAGGTGCTTTTAGAATAATGTTAGCGAGTGATTAGCTAAATTCACTAGAATTTAGGGTAGAACCATAACTTGGATTGGTTCTGGTCCACGAGTGCCTTGGAGCATGCTCATGCTGATTGTAAAGACATAATATTGAGTAATATAATTTTTCACCCGCAAAAAGAAAAGAATAACCCTATTTTGCATCATCTCAATCACTTTCAGACGGTCCACTTGGACAATCAACTTATTGCAGCTAATATTATTTTTTTTACATGGTAATACGTGTCTCGTTTATAACATAGGGATCGTAGTACAAGTCACTTACGTACCGACTTGATAAAACTAAAAAGAGAGCAAAATTGCTAGTCTTTGCACACGAAACACTAAAATTTTTTGGAACAGATGAAGTAATATCCAACGAAATCGCCAGCTTTAAATATTTTACTGTACTATAAATAAAAACTACCAGCTTTTTAGATACATAATAATAAAAGATTCACCAATTTAATAATAAATCATCACATTCCTGGATCTAAAAGTGGAAGAACGACAGCTGAGTGCGGAAGCTGAAGCTGCCGTCAAACCAGTCGAGGAGGACTCAACGATCGCCGGGGATGTCGAGGGCGCCGCCGCAGGAAGACCCGTCGCCGACAGGAGTCGCGGTGTCTCCGGAGGTCGAGGCCGCGCTCGCGAGCGGCGGGGCGGTCGTCGCCCTCGAGTCCACCATCATCTGCCACGGTAACAGGCTTCGACCCCACTTTTCCCCTTCGGAGCAGAGCAGAGGACCCTCCCCGGCGATGTGCCCTAGCTTAGCCCACGCTGGATTCTTGATTGGTGATTCCTCTGCAGGTATGCCTTATCCGAAGAATCTCCAGACGGCAATGGAGGTGGAGGCCATCGTCAGGGAGAACGGCGCTGTTCCTGCCACTATAGCCATTCTGGATGGTGTGCCACATGTTGGTAAGTCGTACAGGGCACCATCAGGTTGTTCACTTGATCTGAAAATGTTATCTTCTACTGGTACTAATATTCTTCACACGATTATAGGGCTTAACAGTGAACAGCTGAAGAACTTGGCTATAAGCGGAAGTCAGTTTCAGAAGACAGCTAGAAGAGATATCGCACAAGTTGTGAGTACCTTGCTCAACACATTTTCGTCCTTCTTAAGTCAAACTGTGCACTCTTTTGAAATCATTAAGCACTGCGCTGAAATCGGCATGCCATCATTCATGAAAGAATTAAGAATGTGTATTGTTTCTCAAATCTGGGATTTACCTCATGCCTAGATACATAGCCCCTCTGATTAACATTTATGCTTGTCATGTTGTTTTCGTTTTTGATTGTTTTACTAATTTTCAGGTTGCTTCGGGTGGCAATGGTGCTACGACAGTCTCTGCCACCATGTTTTTTGCTCATAAGGTTCTTTCAAGAAACATTGCATCTTACTCGTCTTATTTATCTTGGTTTTATTTGATATCCATGTGTAGCTAGCACCAAATGTTTCTTTATAGTAGTATAAAACAATTAAGTTATTCTGAAATTCAGGTTGGTATACCAATTTTTGTGACTGGGGGAATTGGAGGCGTACACAGATACGGTGAAAAAAGTAAGTAGCTTCCAGATGTGTAAGGAGTCCTTGTTTAGGTTCACTGTGTATTAAAAATGTTCCAATTGATTTGTCCGAATTATGAAAGGGCAGTAGTTGTAGCACTGATCATGGACTATTATCATGAGATAAATGAGGTTGGAACAGCTAATTTAGGCATGTTGCTCAGTATTTCTTACAGAGTAAGCAAGCAAATGAACTTAGTTGTTCGAGGATAGCATATAAAACTTTACATTTTAAGTTTATGATGTTTTCTTAAGAAAAGTTAATTTATCATAGCATTGATATTGTATTTCGCCTCTGTTTGAGTTTCTCTATCAAAGAGTATGATTTGCTAGACTATATCTGTTAACACCTAGCAGGAAACGTATATAGATATTTCTCTTGAGTTCTTATGATTGTAGTTTTTTCAGTCTTATGTCTTTTGCAGCTTTCTGCTATTCTGTATTTAATTTAGGATGCTGGTGTTACTCTATGATGTATAGTTATACATTACTGGACTTAAACGTCGAGACTGGGAGTACACACTACATTAACTTGATTAACATAGGGAGACTAGACTATACGTGTTAACATTTAGCAGGAAATATTGAGTTGCAGCTTTTCTGATATTCTCTAGTTAATTTAGGATGGTGGCGTTACTCTATCTATGATGTATAGTTACAGATTAGTGGACTTAAACCTTGAGACGGGTAGTACACACGACATTGTTAACTTGATTAACATATCTTGCTTAAATATCATTCTTTGTAATGCTTGATGGATACAGTTACCATTTCGATGCAGCCATGGACATCTCATCTGACTTAACTGAACTTGGAAAGACTCCTGTGGCTGTTATTTCAGCCGGTGTGAAGTCCATTTTGGATATCGCACGGACACTAGAGTACTTGGTATTATCCTTCGCTTATTCTTCCTTTTTTAATAAATTTTACTGTCGGAGCCTCCACTAAAAATATAGCTCTTTCGATATGTGACGAACAAAATTTCATGTAGATTTTCCTGCTAGGCATTGGATGCTTCACAGGCTGTACCTATATTCTTCTGGCTTGATATTTAAGTACTGATGGAGTAGCTTCTAGTAAAATTCTATAGCAGTGTTGGTTAGAATGCCTGAACAAAGAAAGATCGTAGCAATACAAATGCACTCCAAATATCAAGCTACATATAAACAGGACAAGGATTGTCATTTAACAAAAAATAGTTGCTACATAATTGTTACGTTGGTTTTATTCACCCCTAATAATGATGCCTTAACATAGGAACAAACAGCTGCACTTCTCTTGAAAATATTATAAAAATCTGGATTTGAAACAATAAGATAAGGACTGGAAATGAGGTGGCGCAAAAAGTAGACAAGTTCCGATGCAATTTGGTAATCGACAACTTTCACTCAGGAAATGTTGACTTGGAAGGGCCTCTTTTCTGCCCACTGCAAATTCATGTTCAAGTTGAAATAAGGCCGAAGGGCTCCATAAACAAGAGGACAAGGATCGAAAAACTTGTCTTGTTCATTCTATGGTACATAATTTTAGACCAGACTCTTCAAAGAATTCATAACGAAATGCTCTTGGTGGTAAAGGAGTTATAGCCTCTTCAAAGAGTCTAACTTTTTAGATTATAACACTGGATGTTCCTTGGAGCTCTATAATCTGCTCTGTTCCTGGCAAGACATCGAGGTAGGTGCAACTTCGTTTTGGTACCTAATCAATTCTTTTTAAATGATGGTGTTGACAGGAAACTCAAGGGGTAACTGTTGCTGCTTACAGGACCAACGAATTTCCAGCTTTCTTCACAGAAACCAGTGGATGTAAGGTAGAACAATTTTACTTCTGTCAAACAATAAAGTTAGTGTTTTTCTTTGCCCAATACATTAGCGTCCAGGGATTTGTTGAGAGTTCAAAATGCACTACAGTTTTGAAAATGAATGTTTTCAGGTTAGATTATGTAGTACAAGGCATGGGTTGGGAAACAGTTTAGTTGGAGAGAAATTAAAAGTAGACATATTGCAGCTTCGGTCACAAATTTAAACGAGAAAGTATCTGTTCTATATAAAATTTAAATTGGTCGATGCCTTGACTAAGTGACTCCTGTTTGCTTAATGTAGGTGCCATGCCGCGTTGATTCTCCAGAAGAGTGTGCGAAAATAATATGTAAGTATTAACGTTAGACATGTGAATCTTCTGCATTTTTTATTGAATTTAATTTGTGAGACTTTATTTGTGTGGCACTAAATGTTGGTACATAACCAGAACCACCAGAAGTCACCTGTTCATCTGTTAACTTTTTGATTGGAGGATTCTATAGCCCGATATGAACTTAGAATCAGTTATTCATAACTAGTATCCTACTTGAGATCTACACTTAATGTGATCAATATATGATGCTCCATCCAGAAAACCCCCAAAGAAGATGGGATAAATTTGACACCCTTTCCCGTCATCCATGCCTGCTGCCCACCTCAGTATGGAAGTAGTGATCTCCAAGGGTCACAACCTTTTTTTTTGGAATATTTTGCAGCCTTAATTGAGAATTGCTTACTCAAGTCTATTGTGATGCAGATGCAAACCAGAATATGCATCTAGGATCTGGAATTCTTATTGCAGTGCCAGTTCCCAAGCAACATGCAGCTTCAGGAAAGGTTATAGAGTCTGCAATACAGCAATCCCTCAAGGAAGCAGAGTACAGTCCCAATTCATTGCTCTCTTTTCTCTTTCTGTATGTGTGCGCGTGCACGTGCAGTTGGGTTAACATGTATGTTTATGAACAATATAATGTCAATCTAATTATTTGCACTTTGTTTCTCAGTGATAAAAAGATAATAGGAAACGCGATCACCCCCTTCATCCTTGACAGAGTGAAAGTACTAACTGGAGGATCTTCATTGGAAGCCAGTATCCTATAATTTTATTTTGACCTGTGGTATATTTTAGGGATATTGCATGATTTATCCATTTGTATTTGCAATTTTGAATTTTGGTAGTTACTGTGCCTATTTCTTAAATGCGCAGTTTGTCTTTTCTACCATTCTCAAATTCTAACAGTTAAATATTGAATTGGACCTTGTGAGAAAAAGGACGAAGGCACAGGTGGGCATACAATTCTCGCCCCTTTTTTTTCGCTTCCTCTTGTGGTTTCCTACATTTGCAGAAACTTCTCCTTAGCGTATTCAGATATTGCACTTGTGAAGAACAATGCTCTCACTGGTGCTAAAATTGCTGTAGCCCTTTCTGATCTTCGCAAGAGAGTAACAAACAGTAAGTTGATATTGACTTCACTAAAAAAATTTACAGGTGGTTCTTTGAGTTACCATCTTTAGAAGCAAAAACATCCTGCTCATACCATGCATTATGCAGGGTTTGGAAAAGTGCCAGCAAGCGGCCTGGTTCCCATTTTCCAAGCCCCAGTCTGCTCATCCCAAACCTTCCATGTTGACCCCCTTATTCCACTGGATATGTATATTCTCATTTATATTATACCTTATGTCCCAAAACAACTTGAATCTCGATACGGAAGTACAGTTTCAAAATGCAACAAGCCAGAAACTAGGCAAAGAACTGGAGTTGTTGAAGCTAAATCTTGGGCAGTACTGGTCTAGACGAGCCCAAACCCTGATATGTTTTAACCATATAAAGCATGGAAAAATTGCTGCTGCTGTTGACTTGCCTGATCTATTCTACTAGGTTATTGAGAAGCCACGCTAGAGCTAGATATGGTTTTATGATGTCAAAATCTGACTTTTCTTTTGAGTGAATAATAAAATCTGACTGTTTTGGACCTGCTGTGACAGGGCCTGTGAGGTCTGCCCTATAAAGCTCCTGCCGAAGGAGCATGTGAAGTTGATGATGCCAACAGCTGACCGGAACTGGAGTGTTCGCCAAAGATAGCAATTCCGTGCACATCATGAATCATCTGGCTTGCGCATTCCGTTCTTGCTATTTTGTATCTTGTTGGAAGGCTGTGTTACCAGTAACATCTGAATAAATATGTTTCAGCGGACGTCTCGTTCTGGCACTATGAAATTATTACCGCCTTTGTTGCAGGCAGATCCTATTCGGCGCGTAGGCCGCCTGCTAGCGACCTAGCGCGCACACCTCCAGCTCGCAGATCCAGTGTTTGGGCCGACCCATTTAGGGTTTATTCTCCACCGGTTTTGGGAAAGTTCTAGAAACTTCCTTGAACCAGTTTTTTCTTTTTTTCCTTTCTTTTTTCTTCCAGTTTTTTCTTTCTATTTCTTTTATTTTAGGTTTCTTTTTCCTTTTCAATTTTTGCAAACATTTTTTAAATATTGAACCTTTTTGAAGTTGCATTTTTTTTTTCAAATCATGAACATTAATTTATGAACATTTTTACAAATTTGTGAACAATTTTGGAATTCATGAACATTTTCTGAAATTCACGAACACCTTTTTGCTTTCATGAACATTTATCGAATTCATTAACATTTTTTGAACCGATAAAGTTTTGGAAAACACTTGCTTTTGACCGACTGGTTTTCGGGAGAAATTTAGCCGCGTCCCGCACGTGCCACGCGTTCCCATGGTGTGGGAGTAAATGACCATGAGTAGCCCTATCTGCTCCCCATAATATTTCAAGACATCGGGGCCGGCTGCACCCCTCAAGCATTGAAGACAAGGGACCGCCTTCTTGTGGCCAGCTGGTTTGAACGACCGCGGTCGCCTGCTAGAAGGCGGTGAGGCCCAAAGAGCGGCCCCGACGCGGGCCGACTCCTAGCAGGCGGCCCACCCTCGCGCCCTCAAAGTTTGCACCCACATAACAACGACGAGATGAGGCGTGGCTACAGTACAACCTGCCACCCCTGAATCGAGGAACGAACGTGGCCACAGTGTACCGTACCAGGTGGCCTTCCCTAGCCCGGCGCAGCACTATTGCCACGTTGCCCATGACATCATCCATGGCAGAGGAAGCCATGCTCCCACGATGGGCTGTCGGTACGGCCCGCAGGCGGCGGGCCCTACTTGTCCGTGAGATGCCAGAAGGCGGCAAGCCCTGACCAGTCGGCATAGGGGAAGGCAGACTCCCAGCAGCTGGCTCTCCCCTTCCCTTGGAGTTTGTGCGCCATTAACCAGATAAGACGGGGTGTGGCTACAGTGAGCGCCCGCCAGGCGGCGGTACTGTAGCCATGCTCTCCCCGACCAAGCCCTTGTCATTAGAGGCATGGCTACAGTGATGAGCAGCCGACAGGACCCACAAGCGGTGGGCCCCAGCAGCCAGCGGAGAAGCGGCGACCAGAGACACTGACGGCCCGGCCCTATACCCAGCCGGATTACCATTGTACCGCTGGGAGGTAGGCCTATATAAACCCCCCCAGGCACCCATGCAAAGGGTTCAGCCTCTTAGAGAACACACACACATAGAGAGAGGAGTAGAGCTAGTCTACCCCTTCTTCCTCCTCTACCCAAACAGCTCAAGGAGCAAGCTTGTAGCTTCTTGTTGATCTAGTGATCATGCGGAGACCCCGCAGAGCAGGACTAGGGGCGTTATCTCCTAGGAGAGCTCCGAACCTAGGTAAGATGCGTCGGCGTACATGTTTACGCCTTATTCCGTTTTCAGGCACCGACGATGTCTTACTAGCTCCCACCATGATAAGCCATCCCTTGGTATATGTCGCACCAAACCCCCGACATTTGGCGCCCACCGTGGGGCTAGGTGTACCATCGTCCGAAGATCTCTTCTAGACGGGAACCTTGTTCCTCCCTGGCGAGCGCAGTCAGCCCGGCACGCCCGATGGCGTTTGCACCGACACCCTGCATTGCGTGGAAGTCGCCTGCGCGGCGAGCTGCCTCGCTGATCTCATCGGTGAGATTCGCCTCTCCGACGAGCCCGCTCCAGGCGCGGGCGCAGCCAGCTCCGAGAGCTGCCTCATCGACCTCCTTGGCAAGCTCGACATCACCAACGAGCCCGCCTCCGACCTGGAGTCGATCGGTTCCACCGACCCGATGCTTGTCGACTCCGACACGGTGTCCCTCGACGCCTTCCCCACCAACGTGGTGGTCATCGACGACCCGCTCCCTCGTGCAGACAGCGGTGGCAGCACTGTCACCTAGGTGCTCGTCATCAGCCACGATGGAGCCTCCGGTGGGGACGCCCAAGACCCGCTACAGGCGGCAATGCGGGACCTATCTGTACCCCGCGGGCGACGCCAACGCCAAGATGCTGGAAGCCTGCCGTGTCGCACTCGTCGAGAGCGGCAAGAAGTTGGCCGCTATGAAACGCCTAACGGAGGCCTATCAGCGTGAGGTCGATCGCGCTGTCTACGGCACGCCGGCTACTGGCGAGCCTAGCCGCGTGGGCACCGTCCGACAACGCGGCACGACCATCGCCAGCATGCTAGGGGTCGACCGCCCGGTCTACGTCATGCCCATCGAGTACATACGCGCTGCCCAGGAGGCGGTAGACGAGCTAGACCACCTGGAGGGTGACGAGCGACGCTACATGACGGAGCGTGTTCAGCAGCTCATCGACGCGGCTGCCACGCAGCAAGAAGCCGGCGCGCGCGCTGAGAATCCTCCCCTCCCCACCGAGAGCAAGGCGCAACCTCCAGGACACCGACAGCAGGCGGCGCCTGCGACCGAAGAGACAAAGAGTCGGCTGCTAGCCGCAGTCGGACGCGCCTCGCCATTGAGCGTGACCAAGATGGCCGCCCACGAGCTATGGAGCGGCGGGACGACCGTCCACCTCCTCCTCCTCCTCGCAAGGAGAGGTATGCCTCCCCGCCGCCTGTTGAGCACCCGACGCTCATCGGCCGGCTGGGCCGCCATGAAGGAATTGGAGAAAACGATGCCCACCATCGGATCGACCGCCTGGCTCGATCCCAGGCGCTAGAAGAAGAAGATGCGCTTGGCCCGCCTTGTTTTGTCCCCCGCATTTGCGACGAGCCTTTCCCCAAAGGGTTCTCACTCCCAAGAGATACGCCCAAGTACAACGGCTCCGTGAAGCCTGAAGATTGGCTGGTCGACTACTCCACCGCAGTCAACATAGCAAACGGCAACAAGCGTGTTGCCGTGAAGTACGTCCCCCTCATGCTTTAGGGCACGACACGCACTTGGCTGAACATCCTCAAGCCCTACAGCATTAACAGCTGGGTAGATTTCACCGAAGTCTTCATCCGCAACTTCACCAACACTTACAAGCGGCCGCCTAAGCCTCGCCAGCTCTCTCTGTGCGTCCAAGGCCCTACCGAATCCACTCGAGACTACCTGACGCAGTGGGCCGAACTACGCAACTCCTGCAAAGGTGTGCACGAGGTGTGAGGGAGTTCCGGACTAGGGGGTGTCCGGATAGCCGAACTATCATCATCGGCCGAACTCCAAGACTATGAAGATACAAGATTGAAGACTTCGTCCCGTGTCCGGATGGGACTTTCCTTGGCATGGAAGGAAAGCTTGGCGGTACGGATATGTAGATTTCCTACCATTGTAACCGACTCTGTGTAACCCTAGCCTTCTCCGGTGTCTATATAAACCGGATGGCTTTAGTCCATAGGACGAACAACAATCATACCATAGGCTAGCTTCTAGGGTTTAGCCTCCTTGATCTCGTGGTAGATCCACTCTTGTAACACACATCATCAATATTAATCAAGCAGGACGTAGGGTTTTACCTCCATCAAGAGGGCCCGAACCTGGGTAAAATATCGTGTCCCCTGTCTCCTGTTACCATCCGCCTAGACGCACAGTTCAGGACCCCCTACCCGAGATCCGCCGGTTTTGACACCGACATTGGTGCTTTCATTGAGAGTTCCTCTGTGTCGTCACCGATAGGCTCGATGGCTTCTTCGACCATCATCAACGACGCAGTCCAGGGTGAGACCTTTCTCCCCGGACAGATCTTCGTATTCAGCGGCTTCGCACTGCGGGCCAATTCGCTTGGCCGTCTGGAGCAGATCGAAAGCTACGCCCCTGGACATCAGGTCAGATTTGGAAGTTTGAACTTCACGGCTGACATCCGCGGGAACTTGATCCTCGATGGATTCGAGCCACAGCCGAGCGTGCCGCACTATCACGGCGAGCATGGTTTAGCTCTGCAGCCGGACAGTACCCTGGAGGCCGCACTCGAACCCGCTCCGATTCTCAATCCGGAGCCGGCTGCGCAGATTGAGGACGGATGGCTAGACACTGCCTCGGGAGCTGCAACCTCTACGGCGATAGAGCCGAACAATGACCTTGTCCCTCATGAAGCCCGTGACTCCGAGGCGCCGGACTCCCTGCCGGACTCCGAACCTCCCGCGCCCCCTCCGATCGAATCCGATTGGGCGCCGATCATGGAGTTCACCGCAGCGGATATCTTTCAACTCTCACCTTTTGGCGACATCTTGAGTTCGCTAAGGTATCTCTCATTATCAGGAGAGCCCTGGCCAGACTGCGGTCAGGACTCGTTATCAGGGGAGCCCTGGCCTGGCCGCTCTAAATCCCGCCACAGCAAGAATGAAGACTCCGGCACCGGAGATAATAATACACCGGACAGTGCCAAAGACAACCCACTCCAGCAAGATGCAGCGCAGGAGGACGGAGACGCCAGCCCTTATGAGAGAGCGGCAGAAGAAGAGGTAGAGGATTATATGCCTCCCTCCGGAGACGAGGCAAGCCTCGACGACGATGAATTCATCGTACCTGAGGATCCCGTCGAACAAGAGCGTTTTAAACGCAGGCTTATGGCCACGGCGAACAGCCTCAAGAAAAAGCAGCAACAGCTTAGAGCTGATCAAGATCTGCTAGCCGACAGATGGACTGAAGTCCTCGCGGCCGAAGAGCATGAGCTCGAACGCCCCTCCAAAAGCTACCCTAAACGCA